GTCCATCCCAATCTGACCATGGGGTAAAATTCCTCTGTGACCCCAAAATATGGTAATCAGTGATCCTAAGTGTGGGGGCAAGCCCGCTAGCCAGGAACCTCCGGCTTTAAGTCCCAGCAGGAGCACTGGCACAGCCCAGTCTCCATCCCCACCCTGGGCTGCAGCCAACACTCGGTGCCCCCGAGGGAGGCTTAAAACCCCCTGACACATGTAGCAGCAAGGGGGTGGGGGAGGGCGGGACCATCCCCACCCTGCAAATGTTCTCTGCTTGTTGCATGGTTGAAACACAGAAGTATTTAAACCCTTCAGAGCAGCTCTGGGCTCTGCTTGTGGACGGGCATCTCCGATGAGCTGGGGATGGTTAGATCAAGCTGTCAAGCAAGGGGGAAAAGTCCTCAGCAGACCTCATGGGGGAGGAAGAAGGGCTAATGTAGTGCTCTCTCCCCTGATGGTGAAGCAGCTACCGATTCTCTCCTTCCGTTGGAGAGAATCGTCCCTTGGACAATTTAGAGCAGCCCTGACACTTGGGGTTTTTTGCACGAGAGATTTTGCTTCTGTCCATGCCTCCCAACCCTCCATGTTTTCTTCAGGCTCTGAGCTCTGGGAGGGCTGGTCTCTGCCTCTCTAGGGCCAGGCTGTCAGCCCTCATTCTCCGTTTCTTCCCCTTGCAGTAAGCCCCGAGGAGCAGTGGCAGCGGGAGATCAATGAGAAGGGAGAAGTTGCCTGCCCCACCTGTGGCATCATAACCAGGAAAACCATTGTGGGCCTCAAAAAGCACATGGACGTCTGTCAGAAAGTAGGAGCCTGACATGGTCGTTCGCTTTTGGGGCGAGGGGGGCCAGGTTTGCGCACGCCAGGAGTAACGTAACAGTGCTCCTGGACGACCTCAGGCTGCGGACGCCTGAGCATTTTCTGCTGGTTTGGAGGGAGCTGGCTTCTCCCCCTCTTCCCGGCTACTAAATGAATCGGTTCTGGAGCCCAACGGAGCCCTCTGTCACCTCCTGCGCAACCCAGGGGTGTATAATCTCACCATGTGAGCTGCTTCTATCAAGCCAGGTCACCTTGTGCTTGAATGCAAGCCCATCCCAGAGAGAAACGCCCAGGCTAGGCACATTCCTTAGGCCTTTCGGGAAGCTGTAGGTCAGTAATGGCCCAGTGATAAATGGTCTCCCTGCTGCACCACCATCCATCTTATGTCCTCATTAGTCACCCGGCGTACTAGAAAGAAAGCACCTCTCCTAGAACAGCAACATAGGATCGATGCCTCCTGCCTTAACAATATGTGTCTCAGCTTTGATTCCACATTCATTTCCCATAAATGCCACCTCCACCTCGCATCAGCCTTTGTGAGGAGCAGGAGACCATTAGCCTGATAGTGGGTGACACCCGGCTCTATCAAAGCCCATTGCGATGCTCACGTTGACTTCCGCGCAGACAGGCTTTTGCCTGTTGGCTCTTAAATACATGTCAGGCTTTCTGAACACCATCGTATGCCAGCGGGGAAAGCCAAAGGGCTGTGGGACCCACCAGCCTGCATGGGATTCAAATCCCCTTGAGCATGGCGATGCCAGTCTCTCGCAGGGGAACAGGCAGAGAAGGTATCCAGACCCATTGATCAGGGAAGCTAAAGGATACTGGCACCTTGGGGCAGTGCAGAGCAGGATCTAATCTGGCTGAGCTGCAGCATCATTTTGCAAGTGGTTTCTGATTCCAGGAAAAATTCCCCCAAGGAAATTCTAGCCCCAGCTTTGTACTGCCTCAGTCCTGGCCAGCTGCTCCTCAGCTGTAACTCAGGATTGCTGTCGATTGCCAGTAGCCCCAAGAGTCTGGGATGGCAACCGGGCATTGCAAGGAGCACGAGGGGCCTTCAGTCAGCCTTACAGCTGCATGCCGGGAAGGAAGGCTGGGGTCTTGTCCCCAGAAACCACCCATCCCCCAGCATGAGAAGTGATCCCAGTCAACTCGAATGAGGCAGCGATGCCAGCCTTTGCGGGCCCTGCCAGGGAATTGAAAAAACTGTTCAGGATGAAGCAGGACTCAGAGGAGCCATGGGGCAGCAGCATCCAGGTGAACCTGAAACGAGCAGGTCGTCTCTTGTGGGGGCTGGATAGAAATGTGCCATTTTTAGCATCGCTCACTTGGGAAACGCCTGCCTTGGCTGAAATTAAAGGCCCTGCGTGTCTTTACAGTGACGTTCTTTAGTTCCTGGAGCAAGATTAGCCAGGCAGAGGCCAGGAACAAGAGAGTGCCTCCCAGTGGGAAGCTATGAGGTTTTTTTTATCCACTTCCCCAGAGGTAACTAAGTAGAGGATGAGTTTTTGGAACATCCAGTTCATCTCCTATTAGCAGGGTAGTTTCCAGCTAAAATTAAGAAGAAAAAAACAGCTGGGCTGGCAGCAGGTACAGATAGACTAAGCTCCCCTTGAAGCAACAAATGAGTGCAGTAGGACATGCATCGACTTTCTGTCTCTAGACTTCGTGTGTCTCAGTTCTCTGCACTGAGCGCGTGTCCCCGAGCCCATACATCTCGATATTCCCTCAGCTGAAGTCAGTCTTGGCTTTATCACTTTGTAAAGTAGAACTGTGCTTTTTTCATGCATCCATTCAGAGGTTGCGTGGAGCAGAGAGGCAGAAGTGAAACAGCAAGGTCACATTCGGAGGGGAACACCCTGCCGTGGAGAGCTCTGTGATGCCAGCCGGTGCTTCTTCAGTGTAGGACAGTCCCCTCCTGCGGGGCATATCTCAGTCCAGTGTGTGACTGATACTTGCAAGATCCACTCCGCAACTAGTAGATTATGGGTTTATATCCCTCTGCCAGACAGAACTAAGACCCCAGGTCTAAGTGCTCCTGACCTCAGAAATCCATATCTGAAACCCACGTCTGCAGTTTGGAGCATGCGAGTTTGACATCTGCATCATCCCCTTAGAGAAAGAGGCTCAGTATGCATGCTCAGACTGAAGGCTGAGGCCAGAGGTTGGGATCCCAGAGTCCGATTTAAGGACATGGCTGCAAAGTCCCATTGCCTGGTGCTCCATGGAATAGTCTCTGGTGGGTTGCCAGGACAGCAGCGTGTGGAAGTGCTGTTGCCCACAGGGTGACCCGTGTTTCATTTGTTCAGCTGCAGGATGCCTTGAAATGTCAGCACTGCAAGAAGCAGTTCAAGTCCAAAGCTGGCCTGAATTACCACACCATGGCAGAGCACAGCAACAAGGTAAGAGTGCTTGGAGCTGTTGATCTACTCGTCTCACTCTTTGTCTCGCTCTCTGGAAAGACACAGGTGAAGAAGACGAATAAACCAGCAGTTCCCATAATTGTAATTTTTTTTTCACCTGGCTAATTCAGTGCTCATGGAACCAGGGGGCTCAGAGCACTGATCTTGTAGCCTCCCACACACCGCTGTCAACATGCACATCAGCAGTGTGCCCTGCTTACCCTGTAGTGACCCTCTCCTGAGCAAAGACCGCCAGTCCTAAGCACACACATGCAGTGAATATACACACATGCAATATGGACACCCTGGAATCAGCAAATCCAGGGTGAGCAGAAAAGATACTAAAAGTCCCAGATTGTGGAATATTCGATAAGCCAAGGTTTTTCTAAGCAGCTAAACTCTGCTTGCAGAAACCATGGGAAATGGGTACTTGTTTGCAAGAAATAGTTCAGTAGTTATCTACTAGCCAAGGTGTAGTGGTGTATGCATGTGTGAGCTGTGCATGCGAACGCATCCATGCACAAAAACCTGGCAGCCAGCGACGTAGAGGCTATTCTTCTAGATCTGGTCTTGTGTTTTTGAGGGACCAGGACAAAATGCAACCCTGTTTGATACACATCCTGAGTTTCCCATTTCCAACTTGCCTTTTCACTGTGAATCTGTCTCCTGGGCTCTATTGTAATTGCTGATGTTTTTTTCATGAACTGACTGCAGATGGATTTACACATGGTAAGGGCATGGCCACATTAGGCTTTCAATGGTCAGGGCATCTGTGCGTGCGTTAAAGCCATAGCAAATCCAGCCCTTGAGACAATCCGGTAAGAGTTTATACAGGCAGAGACTTGGTACACCACTCCGGGCACAGAGCACATGAGTGAATGGTTGACTCTGTTGCTTCTGTTACTTCCTTGTTTCCAGCCTCTTCCCGTGGAAATCGCTGGACTGGGTGAACAGGAAGAGCGGGAAAGGCTGAGGAAAGTGCTAAAGCAGATGGGGAAACTGAAATGCCCCAATGAGGTATAAGAACAATTCCTGTTTATCGTTCTGGGAAAGGATGAAAGGAACAGAGAGCTGCCAGGGGACTAGAGACCCACCTGCAGAGGGGCACCGATCCTGCAGCAAGCACCCCCTGCTTGCTTAGAGCGAATACCTCCCAGCTCATCCCTCCCTGTGTTACGTTCGCTCTCCGAGAATATTCCACTGAATTGCTTGCAAACAGAAACATTCAGGGACCCGGGGAGCATTGGTGTGAACCCTGAGACAGGCAGTTCCCAGCTTGGAAACTCAGCTGTCAGGCCCAGAAAGCTGAATGCCATCCAGCCAAAAGGCACATGGTGCTGCATGGCCCTCTGGGGTCTGCCCTAGCTCTCAAAACTACGGGCAAGCCACTAGTGAGCAAGCAACAGGCTGGGAATTATTCCCTCAGTCAACTCAGTGAGTAGCCTCAAAACTGGGCTGTTGGCAGGCAAGTCGCAAACGGGTAAAGGGTGAAACCAGGGATGCAAATGATTTGCTGTGAACTGTGCAACTGGGCCTGCACGCTGGAGTCCCATTGCTCCAAGCAGTGCCCTTCGTCGTCCTCTGTATTTCTAAGAAGCCTCCTGTCCTGGCTTGGAAGCCCTCTGGACAGCAGTAACCGGCCTCCTCCCTTGCTTTTCCCCTGAGCTTGATGGGCAGGGGCAGGGGCAGGGTAGGGCTGACCTGACCCCCAGGCTCCTCACGGCTCCTTGGCAGGTTCAGCTGGTAATGGGAGGCAGAGGGCAGCAGTCACTCTGCCCGTAGGGATCACAAAGGCAGTTAGGAAGCTGTGCTCACATCCCAGGGCACTGAGCATCCTCGGAGGGGCGGGATCTGTGGAGCTGGCTCACAACGAAGGACGTGGGGAGCAGCCTCTGAGGCTCACGGGTAAGTGGGCTCAGGAAGCTGCCGCTGCCCTGGGCTTCGCAGCTCCTCCGTGAGCCAGCTGGGGAGGCTCCGAGTGCATGACACGAGGGCGCTCAGGAAAAACGGTGTGTTCCTCCTCGAGATGCCCAGCCGGCTGCACTGGGGCGGGTTCAACCTATGTGCCTGCATATCCGGCGATGCCACTGCCTAACCCTCTGCGCGCTCCTTCTCCCCAGGGCTGCACGGCCAACTTCTCCAGCCTGATGGGCTACCAGTACCACCAGAAGCGCTGCGGGAAGCAGCCCGCCGAAGTAGAGAAGCCCGTGTTCACCTGCCCTCACTGCGGGAAGAAGTATAAATCAAAGGCTGGCCACGACTACCACCTCCGGTCAGAGCACCCGTCTTCGGTGAGACCCGGCCTCTCGGGGCATGCAGTGCTGTTGGTTGAGGCCTGGGGGTGCTGCCAAGCTCTGGAGCTCTTGCTGGGAGTTTCTGCTGTGGGCTGAAATCTCCTTGCTGCCCTTGAATGCTGTCTGGGTATCTTGAAAGGAAGGGGACTGCAAAAGCATCTGGGTGCAATTCCCAAACCCAAACCCACCAGGGCAAGACCGTTCGTCTGCAGCTGGCATTGTGGTCAGTTGTCCGTGCCAGCCCCCCAGGCCTGGAAGGGATTTCCCTGCACCAGTTACAAAAGCCCTTCCTTTTCTCCTCACTCCTTGCTTTCCCCACTCCCTTTCCTAACCCTTTCTATGTTGCAGCCCCCTGAGGAGCCAGCGGTGAAACCCGAGACCAACCCAGTAGAAGATTTTGAGAGGACTCCGAGCGGTAGGATCCGGCGCACGTCGGCCCAGGTGGCCGTCTTCCACCTCCAGGAGATAGCCGAAGATGAGCTGGCAAAGGACTGGACCAAGCGGAGGATGAAGGACGACCTGGTGCCTGAGACGAAGCGAGTAAGGGTCCCTTGTTTCTTATGCCCATGCAGCTTTGACTGTGGTGGGGGGACAAGGGATGTTGTAGTTGTGATGATCCAGAAATTATGCAAGAGGCAAGGATCTTTTTCCTAAGCCTTAAATGCTAGAGGCTGCCAGGGAGAGAGGAACAGTAGAAAAAACCCTGGTCAGACCCAGTTCACTCTCCCCTTCAGCATCTCCTCTTTGCCTCTTTGAGAGACAGGGCAGGATGGACCTAGGGTGTGACCCAGTACATGGCAATTCTTATGTTCTTTCTTTTGCTGGACCAAATATGTTGCTGGATAAAGCTAGAGAAACTTTTGAATGCAAGTAGTCCTTCATCAGGTCCCTGCTGTGCCTGGCTTCTTGCAATCAGAGACCTGACAAGGAATATCTTGCATTCAAAACCTTCTCTAACTTTATCCCAATGATGTCTTCAGTCCAATGGAGGAGATCACCTTGAAAATCTTTGCATCCAACTTGGACTATGGCAGACAGTGCGGTGCCCCCCAGCTTTGGAGCACAGAGGTCCTGGGAGCCTGCATGCAAACACAGGTGCATCCTTCCCCCTTTATGCAGGGGCTGTGGAGATGCCCACTGGCCGTGCCTCATCTTGCCCTCATGCCCTCTTTCCCAGAGCCCTTCTTGGCAGACCTAGCTGCTAACCTCAGGCTGGCACATGCTATGAAAGGCTAGCATCATGTAAGGCATTGGAAGAGTTAACACCTCTGCCCTAGAAGCAGATGTTATGACGGAAGTTTTCCCAAATTGGCTCCATCCTGTGGCCAAATGCATCTCCATGTCCAGCAGATCATTAAAGGTGCTGGAGGGAGCTGGCAGTCAAGGACAGTCTGGTTCCAGCATCATCCTCACTATACAGCCAGAGGGCACTGGGGTCCCAGTGGTGACCTGCTTCCTTCCTATTGCTGGGAGATGCTTCCTAGCCAGCATCCCTGGAGATGGAAAGGACTCGCTGCAGGCTCCCAGCCATGGCTGATGCCTGAGCCCGGGCCACCCGGCTCCTAGGGAGAACAGCAGCTCTGACATGAAAAAGCTGGGTGTTTTCATCTTTCAAGGTGGGAGCTGCACCCTCTGAGCCTTGGAGCACACACGTCCCAGTGCTGTGGGGCCTGAGCAGCGAGCTGCATTTCCCAGGCTGCTCTGCCATGCTCCACAAACTGAAAAGGAAGATGCAGTTGAATCCAGGAGCACATCCCAGGGTGCAGAGGAGGTGCTGCCTTGCTGGTCTCCTGCACTAAAGAGAGCCCAGGATGGCATGGCACAGCAGACACCCAAAGCCAACTGCAGGCCTTATCTGAGTGCCAAAGAAAGAGAGAAGCAACTCTTCAACATACCCTTTGGGGCAGCCAGCACATCCAGTCTGTGTTTTGCCAGCTGCCCCACTAGGGCCAAGGGCAATTGTCTGTCCCAAAAGCAGAATAAATCAGGCTGACACAGGGATTTGGGGCTGCTACAGCTGGGCTGTTTGGGGGCTGATTTGTTTTCATCCCAGGGTCCCAACCTGCTCACGGAGGAGCAGGCCAGAGGGTGAGACCCTGTTCTGGTCCAGCCTGGTGGCAGAGAGGGTAATTTGGAAGGAAAGGAGCCAAGCGAGCCCAGCCGTGTGTCTTGAGTTAGCAAAGCTGCTCTCAGAAGGACTGTCCACCTTTTTACTATGTCAGAGTGGTTTGATGCATGGGAATAGACTCTGTGAAAAGCCAAGCTGTCAAGGGAACGAGGCGGCATTGGCAGCACGTGCATGTACAAAAGGCTGGCCATTCGTTTCTGCCACATTGGCTATACTTAAAAGCTAGGGAGACAGCCACCCCTGATTACGGGCACCGTTCTGGGCGAGCTGCCCCTCTGGCTTCTGGAGATCGAGGCCCTTTGGTTTTGAAGCCCAGCATCTGCATTTCAGCCCCATTAATCCTCTTTTAGGCAAAGTCTTAGGTAGAAGTGGCTGTCCTGCAAGAGGTTGACCTCAAGAGTTGTGGCTAGGGACTGGGTTTGCACAGGTCTGTTGCCTGGGGAAAGGCCTGGGGTTCTTCATGGGAAAGAAACAAATATATATGGATGATATATAGGGCATTTTGTGTGTGCGCTTGTGTGGCTGCCAGAGACATTCCCAGGTGACTTTCCCAGCATTTCAGCAAATGCAACAGCACGGGAGCAGACTGTTCCTGCTGGCAATGATGCAGTGCAGCCCTTTCATCTGTGCACCCACCACATCTAGCGCTTCCTGGTATCCAGATGAGGCTTGTGTCCTCATCCCAGTCTCTGTGGGCCTCAGGGTGTGTCAGGAACATGCTTCACTCCCCCCACGTGAGGACTGCGTTCTCTGCCGCTCCAGGCTCTGGTGTGGCAGGCGACACACTGCCACGTTTCAGAGGAGGGGGAGCCTGCAAGGCAAAAGAAGTCACCTCCGAAGGGACGAGATCTCCAATTCAGGGCTCCCTTCCTTCTGCACAGCCATCCTATTTGGCAGCAGCAGACGTGGGAGAAGAAAACCCCACAGCACAGGCCCTGGCGTGCCACTGGTCCCAGACTTGATGAGCCTGGTCTCAGGCAAGGACTCTGCCCTCTGAGCCCTGCCTCCCTCAGGTTTCTCTCGCACCATTTAGGGAACCGCTCTGTGGCTGTGGTTCCAGTTTCCATTAATGGGCGGGTGAAGATACAGCTGAGCCACGTTCCCTGAGTGATGCTCGCCTTGCCGTCTGGATGTCTTAGCTAATGAATGGCACCGAAGAGTGGGAGGGAGCCGCACAGCCCTAGCACTGGATGGGAAACCCCTTTTCCACTCCTGGAACTGGATTTTTGATCCCTAGCTCACATGTGAAATGAGTCTGTGGGTCCTATCCTGCCTTTTGTGAGCATCTTTGCTCCATCAGCTGTCACAAAGGACTGGAGAGCAAATGAATCCCATGGAGCAAAGCTGAAAGGCATTAGC